ATAGTTTAATTCGTAATTTTCACGAAACCAATAGCGAAGACTTACAACGTTGAGATTGGCTTGGTCTCCATGTTCGTTCGAGGAAGCATAGAGCGGGGCGTTGATTCCCGTGACCGAATTCCACGATCCATTCAAGTCGTACGTCATCAGATTAATAAAATCAACATTTTCTGACACGTCGCGAATATAGTAGGACTTAGAGGCCGAAGATTTCGCAGCACCTACGGCCACGCTGAGGATATAGCCGTGTTGACTAAAGGCCTGCTTCAGTTCCTTTAACAAGAGGATAAAATTCCACTTGTCGGATGGATTTCCGCCTCGTTGGTTGGGATACTCCCAGTCGACGTCGAAACCGTCGAAATTGTACGTCCTCAGGAAGTTAACGACGTTTTGGGCAAATCGAGCACGGAGTTGTGGGTTTGCCGCGACTTGAGAGTACTTGGCGGATCCCTCGTTCCATCCGCCTATCGCTATCATAGCTTTCGTGCCTGGGCTAGATTGGCGGAGCCTGGTAAACTTTCCGAAACCGTCTCTACCGCTTGGCAGATCCAGCCAGCTGTCCAGTACTTGTACGTCGCCATTGGTGGTGATACCGACGAAAGTATAAATCATATGTGTACACAAAGCTGGATTTATGTGGGACGGTTCGAATGCGCCGAGTCCAGGACGATACGCGGCCCAGCTACCATAGTAGCAAACGATTTTTTCTAAACGATAAATATATTATATTACAAAATTTGAAATTGTCAGTAGTTTAGTAGAACACGATTTTTGATAAATGATAAATGGAGGACTTTGAGCTATTTATACATTTTATAAAAATTAAAATTAATAGTTGCAAATGAGTGAAAAATTTAGGCGTGTTAAGTTGAATATTCTCACAGTCCAATAATCTCGATTTATGAAGGGATTATCAATACCGATATCAAATACGATTTCACTGATTAAAGGTGAAGAATGTATTTGAGGTCATTATCTTTATCAGTAAAATACTCACTATCGGCCATAGTGCCTATAATGGCACCTGCCAGAAATATAGCCAAAAGTATTGACTTCACCATCTGAAAATAATCAAATTACGAATTACAAGGAAACAGGAACTATCGACATAAATATAAAAATACATAATTTGATAAATTAAAAAATTTATATAATGCATGAAACATGCATCACTTCCGCTTGAAAATGCTAGCAAAAGGTTCCAATAAATAAAAAAATACAAGCATGTCTCGACAGGTAAAATAAAAAATTTAACAGTAGATTAATTAAAATGTTATAAAAATAAAATAAAGTTCTACCTACTCTTTTGTTTCTCGCACAATTGTGGTTTCACCTGTCACAACACAACCCGAAGGCTTTAAACGAAGTTAGGAAACTGATTGACTTCCAATATGAGCTCGAGCTTATCGTGTGCCAGATACAGCCGCTATTTCACACCACCTTTTCACTTTCGCTCTTTTATACTCTCAAACGTACTCTTTAATTGCAAACAAATAACGTCACAGATATTTCATTATCATTCCAATTTGTTCCTTCCCCGTATTTGCTTATCAATTCTTTGCAAATTGTCCTCAGATATTCCAACTTTAACAATCATTTCTTGGCATCGATGACATATCAGCGATAAGACAATGAAAAATAAAAATTTCGTTGGAAATCGGTGATCTAAAAATAAATAATATTCATATCACAAATACCCGATCTGATATGAAGCGTGATTATGCTTGCAGATCTTTTAAAAATATTATCTGTCGATTTCGTAAGACTTTTCGATCGATTTTTTATTTTTCTCACGAGTGATATACCTTTCCCTTATTACTCCGAAATTGAAGCCGATAAAAGAGGCAATAGAAACTTTCCGTCTGATTTTCTTTTATTTGTAAATTTAAAGCGTGGGAATCTGCAATGAAGATTACTGAATACGTCATACGTGTGATTTGACAAGTTCCATTTAATCAAGATTAAATACAATATAGATGATAATAGAGTGATAGATGATAAATAATAGTGGATATGCATTTTTCTTGGATTCATTATGGCAGGAATGACCTATAATACTCGTTACTATCTATATTCTTGTATAAAAATTCGTCAGATTTGAAAAGTTCTTCATAAAAGGATATATATTTCAATGAATAAAAAACGATTTAAAATAACATTCGTTTAATACATTTTTATCATTCAATTTACATTGTGTATTAAATTATATATACGATAATATTTTCATATCACACGTTACATTATCACACATTCTCATATCACATTTCATTGCGAATCAGTAGCCGGGTATATTTTTCTTGTAATTGCAACCGTTTAAGGATGGATCGAACACGAGACCATCGAGGCAGTTGAATGCGATAGGATCACATCTTCCATCAACAACCTTTACACAATGATAGAACTTCGAACAGTCATTCGGATCTCGTACGTCTCGACTCCCAGTTGTCCGCGCACAAGGATCATGATGGCGGTGTCAGTGACGGGCAGGGATCGTATAATTTGTCCTTCGGCCGGAAAGTGGGGACGACGCGGCCATGGTTGGGACCAGGGATCGTATAATTTGTCCCTCGACCGGAAAGTGGGGACGACGCGACCATGGTAGGGACTGGTACTTGATGGAGGTATGCTAGGCATGGTCAGCGAAGGCGCATGAGGAGAATAGTATTGGGGATAGAAATACAGGCGAAAAAGACGGGAAGCGAGCTGTGCAGGATAAATTATACGATCCCTGGTGACGGAGTTGCAGGCGGTGGAGTTGTTTCCTAAGTTTGCGGAGAAGATTGATTTGGAACGTTTCCCCGCAATATTTTATTTATCGTACTCAGAAGTGGATACTTGTCACCACAAGTTCCACGGAAGTCATCAGTTTCAATGCTCCACATCATTACACCGCCGAGACCATTAGATAAGACGTAATTGGCCTTCTCTGCAATAGATCTGAAACCCCGAAATCATCCTCACACGAGATCCTTAAATATTAACATCTAATTCATCTATGTATGATACGTTCGTGCCGATTTTTATAAAAAAAGGCAGCACCTAAATTTTGATATACTACTTAAACCTGTCCTAATGCCGTCCACCAAAAATCGACACTAACTTTCCAATACGGCCCAATATATTTTACATTAGTATGAAAGAAATACTTACGTTGGGTCATCGTATCCGACCCATTGATTACCACTGAAGGCATAAGGTACACGTTGTTGTTCTTCGCGCCGCACGGTCCATCCCTGACGAAGTTTCTCGCAGATCTCATTGTAGCCAAGCATTCCTGTTGCTTGTGTGTAGGGTCCGCTATTTCCGGGACCAGAAGCCGGGGCACCTACACCATTGTTTCCTGGATTCGCCAAAGTAAACGATCTTCCATAAGAAGGAACACCGAGAATGAGCTTATCCGCTGACGCCCCTTCCGATAACCAATATTGGACAGATGCGTTCTAAAATATTATAGACATTTCGTATGCTATAACACAATCTACCAAAAATACTTTTAATTTTTGCAGTATAGAGTTTCTTATGGCAAAGACAAATCCGAAAGCAGAATTCCTCTCACGTAATCAATGGTGAAAACCTACCACGTTGGACATGATTTGGTTTCCTTGTTCGCTCGATAAAGCATATAACGGAGCGTTCGTCCCGGTGACCGAGTCCCACGATCCATGGTAGTCGTACGTCATCAGATTAATAAAATCTACGTTTTGCGACACATTGGCAATATGGTACGACTTAGAAGCCAAAGATTCGGCAGCACCTACGGCTACGCTGAGGATGTAGCCGTGTTTATTAAAGGCCTCCTTCAGTTCCTTTAGCAAGAGGATAAAATTCAACTTGTCGGATGGATTTCCGCCTCGTTGGTTGGGATACTCCCAGTCGACGTCGAAACCGTCGAAATTGTACGTCCTCAGGAAGTTAACGACGTTTTGGGCAAATCGAGCACGGAGTTGTGGGTTTGCCGCGACTTGAGAGTACTTGGCGGATCCCTCGTTCCATCCGCCTATCGCTATCATAGCTTTCGTGCCTGGGCTAGATTGGCGGAGCCTGGTAAACTTTCCGAAACCGTCTCTACCGTTTGGCAGATCCAGCCAGCTGTCCAGTACTTGTACGTCGCCATTGGTGGTGATACCGACGAAAGTATAAATCATATGTGTACACAAAGCTGGATTTATGTGGGACGGTTCGCATGCGCCGAGTCCAGGACGATACGCGGCCCAGCTACCATAGTAGCAAAAGACTTTTTCTAAATGATAAATATATACATTTACAGAATTTGAAATTGTTAGTTGTTTAATAGGATACGAATTTTCGTAAATGATAAATTCAAAATATGAGCTGCACATTTTTTTCAAAGTAATTATCAGTTGCTTAGTAGAACACGATTTTTGTTAAATGATAAATGGATACGTTTAGGACTTTGAGCTGTTCATTTTATAGAAATTAAAATTAATAGTTGCAAATGAGTGAAAAACTTGTACACATTGTTAGGCGACTTAAGTTGAACTTTCCCATAAACCAATAATCTCGATTTATGGAGGTATTATCAGTTCCGATACTGAGTATGATTTCATTGATTGAAGGTGAGGAATGCATTGAGGTCATTGCTTTTATCAGTAAAATACTCACTATCGGCTGCAATGCCTGTAATGGCACCTGCCAGAAATACAGCCAAGAGTACTGTCTTCAACATCTGAAAATAATCAAATTACGAATTACAAGTAGAAATCAACGGAAACAGGAACTATCGACGAAAATTTAAAAATTCTTATAATGCATGAAATATGCATCACTTTCGCTTGAAAATACTTGAAGAAGTATTTCAACGGAAACAACACAAGATTCCAATAAATAAAAAATTCGAGTATGTCTCGCCAGGTAATATAAAAAATGTAACAGTAAGCTAACTAAAATGTTATAAAAATAAAAGAATGTTCTACCTGCTTCATGTTCCTTTCTCAATTGTGGTTTCACCTGTCACAACACAATCCGAAGGCTTTATATAACGTTAGGAGACTGATTGACTTCTAATCTGAAATCGAGTATTGGCGAGCCTATCGTTTATCGTGTGTTAGATATAGCCATTATTTAACCGCATTTTTACTTTCGCTCTCTTACCGTCTTTTCTTTATTTTATACTCTTAACTGTGTAAGATTGTGT